ACTTTTTAGTCTTGTCTTGTCTTGTTGTCTCTTTGTTACGTCTTTTCTTTTCTCAGTCCTGTAGCACAAGTTTCTGGACCTGATCGATTGTCGGCTGGCTCCGACACCTCCCTGTTACAGCATCAATGGTACCTTTTAGAATATATTTGCATATGACTCCTGGGTTGATTGGCTGTGAGAGGTACAGAAGCAGGCCCACAGCAAGATGCGAGGTTTTACAAGAAATTTCTCTTTATCCTTAAATGCAGCATGTCCAGAAAAGGTTCAATGTCAGAAAAAAACCTAGAAGCGTCTGTTTGGTACCTATCTTGTGGCTGGAGAAGCTGAGATGACAAGACTGTCGTCAGCTTGTCAGTTTTATGAGTACAAAAGAAATTTCAACTAAGAGTCAAGCTGAAAATGTCATCTTTTGTAAAAGCACCCCTTAGACTTCATTTTCAAAACGTATGTATTTTTGCACTCTTGCCAAAATGCAATTACATGCACAGTTGCACAGGCAAATACATGGGAATATTTTCATAAGAGTAATTTACAGTAAACAACAAGTGCAATTAGAAACCGAGAAGGTTTTTCCTCCACACAGTTATGTGACTAACAGAACAGCAAATATTATTATAGAGAACTTAGAGGAGAGAGAAAAGTGTTTTGCTAACACAATCACTGCCAATCAGAGTCTCCACGACATCAGCATATTTGGTTCCACCACTTCATTAACTTAGGTGGGGCCCCCAATAGTTTTTTAAATGGTGCACAGGGCACCTTCAAAACACAAAGAGAAGTAGAAAAACAGAGAAGATATATATACACAAATATGAAGTAGACTTATAGTTATAAATAGGATCTTCAGCCTTTAAGTTCAAAGATGTTTCTCAAGACAGAGACTATGTCAAGAATTCTAATGGGTCTCATGTAGACAGTTCTCTGCCTCAGAGCAAAATTTACCCTAAGCAATCTATGACAAATGCTTTGCTTGTTGACTAAATATTTTCTAGGTGAAGAATCCAGAAAAAAACCATAAGCACTTGACATCCATTTCCTCTCAATTTTTCTGGGAAAATGAGAATGAGTAGCCTTTTTCAACCAATAGTCCTTTCCAGTGGGATACAAAATTCAAATTTCATTCAGTGACAGTTATATTTGGTGGTGTTCTCACCTGTAATGTGGTGACAAATTGGTAACAACAACAAAAAAATGCTCTAACAAAACCAACTGGAGTCTGTAGATTTCAGCAGATATGTGATGGGACAATGCAAAAAAGTGGTCAATATTAATTAATGAAAATGCATGGAAATATACAGTATATATATATATATATATATACACACACACACACACACACACATTTATACATATATATATGTCTTTGTTTGAAGATTAAATATGTGTAACCTGGAAGAATCGCTCAGGCTTATTACACTTTCGCACATGTAACATTCACAAATGTCATTATAAAAGGTGGACTTTATCTTTCTTCATGACTATAACTTGTGTGCCTTGGTCCATAAGCATTATAGCTTCCCACTTTTACAGCTTTGGCGTTTCCAGGCTCAATGATAAAACTGTTGACTAAAGACATAAGTTAAAAATGTGTTTGTAAAAGGGGGAGAAAATCAGCCTTGTGTAATATGGGTAGTTAGTGACATTTCTCCACAGCTAAAATAGACAAAAAAGAAGATAAGCTTCTGTAAGGACTATCACCTCTAATTCAGAGTTTTGCTTTCTCTGCAGACTTCATGCGACTGCTGACTATAACACGCCATTTATATTTGCATTTGGAAATAAATACATTAAGCACAAGAAACAATGTTTGGTTTAGTAATGGCAGTTAGACATATGATTGCTGACCTAACAATATGAGCATCTTCAATATCATCCTCAAAAAAAAAAAAGAAAAAGAAAAAAAAAATGGTCAAATTCCATGAGTCTTCAGTTGATTGGTGGTAAATGAAGAGGACTTCAAAATACAGGTAATTCAGAATTCATAAAAATTAATTACATTGATTCTGACAGGGAAATATAAATAGATATACAAAGATAAGCAGTGATATAAGCTGAACTAGAAATGTAAAATAAATGTTTTCAAACAGAAAGTTATATGAAGGTTTAAAGAAGAAAGAAGGCCGTAGGTGCTGGAGAAGTGCTTTGTATTTTTATAGAATGTCAGAAAATATGACAAGAGAAAACTTCCCAGCATTGACAATAATGTGTGCAAATAAACCTCCAGATTCTTGATCATAAATCTTTCATATTAGTTCTAGAATAATAACAAATAAAAACTTATTTATATATTGTGTGGAGCAGGATAGAAGGGTGTGTGGCAGAGAGGACCGCTAACAGGAAACCCAAACTAAGCCTGTAGTCATAAGTAAATTATAAATATATTTGTTTGCTCTGAGATCCAAGTCTTAGGACAGAAATTTGTCTAAGCCTTAATTTCAACTATTAAGATGTGATAAATCAATAAATAGAGAAATGGTCTTTCTCAGCTGGTCTTTGTTTCTTTATTGCTGTTACCTAAGATGGAATTTCCCAGCATATGTGTTGGAGGGTGTTGGTTTAATGTGTATGCATCAGCATTACCTGGTAGGCTTATTAACCCACAGGTTACTGGGCCCTATCCCCAGAGTTTCTGATTCAAAAGGTCCATGTGGGGACTTAAAACTTTATTTCTAACATGTTCCCATTTGATGCTGATGCTGATGCTGCTGCTCTTTGGACCACACTTGGAAAACTACTGGTAGAGTGGAATACATATTAAGTAATAAGAAGAGTTTTCATTGTGATATGAATTGGGAACATTAGGTTAGGGACCTTAAGTAGGTTGGTTTCTTTCCTGCAGTATTTCTGAAATCATTTAAAATAAAATGTATTTTTGAAATGTTGCAACAGATGGAGTTAAACAGGCAAGGAAGACTATTCAAGACTATTGAAATAGGGGAGAGACCAAATTCAGTTCTGTTGAAACAAAAAGTAGGAGCTTTGAAGTACTGAGGTGAGCTAGTGGAAAAGTCCTAGAGGACTTTAGAGGGGAGCTTGGAGACTGATCGGGCCATCTGTGTTTGTTAATGGTACTTATGTAACTCAGGCTCTTACCCTTCACAGAGACAGGGAGACTGGGGCTCTCTTTCTGATGATTACGTCATTCCACAGGGATAGGTCCCAGATGCTTGAGAAAGCCATTACTGGTTGTAAAACTGGTAAGAGACTGAGAAAAGATTTATATCTCAAAGCGACAGAAAAAGAACTTAAAATTGTAAGTTTTCTATAGTAGATGTTCTAAGAAAAAGGCAGTTGCGGGACTACAGTCAGGAAGAGACCTGTCTAAAGTTTAGTCAAACTGAGAGGAACATTATGGCTATATTGATCAAAATTCTAAATGGAATATAATATGTTGTTTCCAAAGGTATTTGTCATGGAATTACTCTTCTGAAGGAGCACCCTGTGATGTTATTTTTCTGAAGAATACCTAAGAAACATTGTTCTACAAGAAGGTTTCTGTACATGGACTAAAAAGTTCTGAATACATGCCATTTAAGCTCTTTATGCTGTTCAGTGCCGAATCAAACTGCATATTTCTCTCAGTAGGAATCGCTTAAAGGAATAAATGGCACAATAAGGTCTTGAAGCCTGGACGTGGAAACACATAAGGTAAAATCTGATACTTATTTGTCGAATAGCACACCAATTAGGTTTTATGTGAATATGTTACATATGCATACGGCAGTAGAAATGCCTCGTGTCTTTAGATGTATGCGTGCATATTTAGCTACATATGTGCTGTCAGAAGTAAGTGCTAGAGGCATCACATTCATACGCACAAATGCAACCTGGTCTTTATTCTTTCATATTCTTTGTCTTTCTTCCCACTGTCTTACTTAAGATATAGACAAGTAGAGATTTTACCTTTGAAGTAATTAAATTATTTAGTCAGTGTCCAAACATTATTCTAAGTTTCTGATAAAATTCTAGACAATTTTTAAAAATTATATTTATCATTTCTTTCTTTCTTGATTAAAAATATGTTTTTATTGTTTAAATTCATTGTATGATAATTGTATGATAAGACATAATTCAAGTCAGCAGTCCTCATCTACCACCCTCCAATCCCCTATTCTCATCCACAGAGAGAAACACATTTCTATTTTGGGAGGTATTTGCCACTGTTTAAATTACATACTTATAATAATACAATGTATTGATTTTCAATTATACATAGAACCTACTGACTTTCCAGTAAGTAAAACGAGGGTTTAGAACTCTTGTAGAAAAAACTCCCTCCACATTTAAAGCCACATGTTAGGTGTTCTTCCAATGTGTTTATGTCAAAATTTGGGGGTAAATTATGTTATATATTTTCATTATTATGAAATACATAATCATTTGTAGTATTCACAATTGAGATACACACCAGACTGATTACATTTTCTTTCTTATACATCTCCCCTCCTTCCACCCATTTAATTAAAGCTTCATTAGATGCTTACCTATCCATCTGTTTACCTAAAAACTAAAAATAAAAAGGACTGTGAAACACTTCATGTGATTCTTCCGGGGCTGGGTTTTCTTGTTAACGGTGTTTTTGGACCATATTATCCTCCTGCTTAATCTCCCTGTCACCTATGTGGAGCCTTCTGCAGTTCTTTTAACCCAGCATGGCAAAAACATCCTTAAATAAAGGTTTCCTTCAAAATAGCTATAAGGAGAAAACCCTGAGGGGATAGGGTTCCATTTTTGCAGCTCCATCCCAGAGACAAAATTTCCAGACAATAAAAATAAAATGCTCTAACATCACTCATCCCCTCAGGGCCCCTGCCCAACCTAACTATCCCCTGCTGATACATAAGCTGTTTCCCTGTAACACACACACAAACACACATACACACACACACAACAGCAGCAGCAACAAAAAACAACAATCATCCTCTTTTTTGAGATTTAAGGATTTCTTGGGAGCAAGCTGCTCTATCATCCTTTTTTCCCCCTTAATGCTATCTTGTAGGTTCTGTTTTTCCAGCTTTTTAAACACATAAAAGAGAAAACTGTTCAATTACAGGGAAAAGTTTTGCTGCCAACACTAATGAAACCAACACCAGAAACTGGCTTTTAATATTAATCATCTATGTCAGCTCTTAGGGTAGGTGTTCTCAGGCACGTTTTCTCCTTCTCAGACCCTCAGCAATCCTGCAAGTCACAATTACCTTGAACTTAATAAAGTATGAGTTATACAAACATATACTCACACACATACACAATATGGTTGAAATTTTGGAAAGCTCCTGTGCATGGCTCCTCATGCCACATTCTCATCAACTAAATCTGCAGTTTCCAGTAATCTCTTCCTTTGTACTTTCTTACCCCCTCCTTTTTTCCAGTAGTAAGAGACTGAATGCGGACTTAAGCTTCAAAAAGGATCACAGATTAAAATTGCTTTTATTACATTTATTCTTCAGAGTGTATTTTAGTTAGAATTGTTCTATTCCCTGATCTGAATCTTATTTCATGGTTCTCACCTCAGACTTACTTCTGTATTATGCTAATTCTTCAAGCTTGGGGTCCCCTTCTTTCTTAGCACTTACTTCTTCCTTGTATAGCGAATGCAAGAAATTTTCAAAAACAATAGAAATGAATAAATGATAAAAAATCATATTTTATATTATCTAGCTTTCATTATATGTCTTGGTATTTCTTTCCATCTACTAAGGGAAAAACAATCTATGCTCCTTAAGATTTATTACTATTAGCATAAAGATTAGACTAAATTGTGCTCAATTACACTATTCTTTTATTTTCTGTCAGTTGTTATAAATATCAGAATACACATTTTTGTATTAAATATGCTGTGCCTTCACAACCCTTGATATTTCTGTATGTAGTCCATACATTATGACTTACTGGGAAAGTCAATTGTCTCTTTTGGAAAAGAGACACAGGGTTACATCTCAGACTTGACAGCTTCGCTACCTGTGACCTTTGACTTTTTGCTGACTGGAGATCTCTTTGATTTGAAATACACACAGAAAAGGCCTCCTGTGCTCTCGAGCTCTCCAAAGTCTTTTATACAAAGAAACGGGAAGTGAAATGGAAGAACTGGAGAGAAGGAGGGTGAAAGAGAGATTGTACTTATATATAGTCAGTTCTTCACCTTAAACGAAAGGGAGAAAAGGATCAAAGAACTCATCTATCAGACAAGTGTCTTCACTTGGATTTAATACTCCATTTTTCATCCCCTAAACTTCATAGTCTTATGGATTCAATCACAAGGCACCTCTAGTAAACCTCCGTGTATCGCTATCAAGAGTACAGAAAATAAAATTAGTCACTATGATTACCAAAGACTACCTAGCCAGGTTCTTGTCACTATTTTACAATAAGAAAAATGAATTAAGCCTCATAGTTTTGGTCTATCTGAAGCATCTGGTAAATAATCCAATAGTTTATTTATTGAATATTGATAGGGTCTGAATTGTGTCCCCACAGAATTCATATGTTGAAGCCCTGATCCCTGGTACCTGAGAATGTGACCTTATTTGGAAATTCGGTCACATTCAATAATTGATTGGACCAGCAAGCTAGTTAAGTTTCCTGCTTTGAAAAAAATATGTCACAGATTCTTGTTTTCATTCTAGTCTTTCCTTTGACATTATGTGAAGTGGTTCAATATTATTTGAAGGCAGATTAGGAAATTTAAAGCGAAATAATGTAAACCCATGAGTAATCATCAAAAAAAAAAAAGCAAAATATAACTAACAAGATATGCAGCCAAATGAGGTGCTTTCAGGGAGACAAAGCTCCAAATGCATATATTAGGAAAGCAGAATGATCTTAAAGCATTGTTTTTAGCAAGAGACTAAAGAAGAAAAACTTGTGACTGGCTCCACACCCAAATCCA